CGGAGGCTGGAGACGGAGCCCTCGTTGCTGGGGGGGCTGGTGGCACCTCCTCACCTGGGCCAGGGGCTCCTCTGGGGTCTCCTGCAGGACTCGTTGGGCATCTTGCTGCTCCTCTTCCTCCAGGGAGGAAGGGTAGAAGGGCAGCACCTTCTCCTCCTCTGTCTCCAGCCTGCGACACATCTCGGCCAACCTGAGGATGCGCTGGGCCTGGGGGTGGGGAGGGGGTGGCAGCAGGGCAGGAGGGGGCAGGGACACCCCCCCCAGGGGGTCTGGGGGCCTCACCTTCTCCACCAGCTGCCCCAGAGCCTTCAGGGCAGCCCCACTTTGCAGCACCAGCCTGGCCAGGCTGCTCTGGGCCCTCGCCCTGCCCTGGTTCATCTCGTTCTTCAGCTCCTGCAGCTCCTTGAGGGCCTTTTCCTTCTCCTCCCTCATCTGCTGGTTCTGCTCCTTGCTCTCCCGGAGGTGAGTGATGATCTGGCTCTTGGTGGCAGCCACCAAGTCCTGGGGACAGGAGGAAGGTGAGCAGCAGGATGGGGTGTCCCCACGCTGGGTTTTCGGGGGGGTGGGGGGTCACCCCTTGTTCCTTGCCACCACCTGGAGCTTTTGCAGTTTCTTGCCCTGTGCCACCTTCTCCTTGATGTGCTTCCTGTCCTTCTCCTTCAGGACTTGGAAAGCGACTTTCTGGTGCTCGGTGGCCTCGGTGTAGCCCTGCAGGGCCTCCTGGAACTGCAGCCAGAGCTCGTCCAGCTTCCCCCCCACCTCCAGGCGGGTGTACTGCTTCTCCTGCTGGCTCTGGGGACAGACACAGCTGGGGGTGACCTGTCACCTTCCCAGCCTGGCCATCTGTTCTGCTCACAAGCCCCAAAAGGTTCCTGGCCGGTTTCTCTACCAGCCCCTGCCTTGTTTTTGATGTCATCCCGGGCACTCTGGAAGTTCAGCACATCCTCCTGCTCCCCCTGGCTGTAATTCCTCTCGGCCGCCAGCGCCAGGTCCCGCAGGAAGCAGGTTTCCCTCTCGTGCTGCTCCAGGATGGCTCTCCTGGGGAAACCAGGACCACAGAACGAGGGATGGGGGCTGGAAGGGACCTCTGAGATTATCCAATCCAACCCCCTGCAAGAGCAGGGTCTCCTAGAGCAGATCCCACAGGAACACGTCCAGCTGAGTTGGGAATGTCTCCAGGGATGGAGGCTCCACCACCTCCCTGGGCAACCTGTCCTGGGGCTCTGTCACCCTCCCAGGCAACAAGTTCCTCCTCATGTTCAGCTGGAACCTCCTGTGCTCCAGTTTGTGCCTTGTCCTGTCACTGGGCACCACTGGGAAGAGCCTGGACACCCCCTGGAGATCAGCACTGGTGAGATCCCCCCCTCAGCTTCCCCTCCTCCCACCTCCCTCAGCTCTTCCCACACGAGGGACTTTTCCCACCAGCCCTAAGCAAGGGCAGGACCTGCTGGTTCTTTATCAAACTCTTTCCTAAGCT